CGAATAAGCGCGACGTCGTACGACCCGGCACAGATGAGCCGTTTCCTCACTATTTCGTTCCACTCACTTGTCGCTGTCGCTATTGCCGCCGCCGCCGCCGCCGCCGCCGCCATTAAGGCTGTACTGTACCGTCGTTGCAATCGCCGTTTATGCCGTGGCCGTGGTTCGGGGACCGACCGGGTCAGCAGACTATTTGAGACGACTCAAGATTCAGGACCCACGTGGAGGGGAGGGTCGGAGAGGGCTAGGTGTGGAAAGGGCTGTGCCGGACCCCTGCCGGGAGCGTGGTTGTGGAGGTTGAACCCTGCGCGACCCGCTTGGAACCCCACGTGTAGCCGCCGCTGCCTCGCGGTCAAGACCCTACTTTTGTCACTGCTATACGTTATACATTACTACAACAGAACTACCACAAAAGCGACTACTGTGACTTGACGAAAGCCTTGGAACGAGCATTGCCCCTTTCCTGGACCGTACAGTGTACTACAGTCGGTGACGGTGACTCCATATTTCTATGTACCTCTCTCGACGCAGGTTTTTTTTTTATTTTTTGCTCTTTCGGTTGTCCTGTTTGATTTTTTTTTTTTTTTTGCAGCAGCAGCAGCAGCAGCAGCAGCTGCTGTTCTAGAGACCTTGGTTCCTGCAATCTAGAGAAGGCAAGAGTACAGGACGTCTTTTTTCTCCTTTCAAATGCCGCTGCCGATATGCCGTCGCTAGTAGTCAGCCGATCGTCAACAGCCGCCTACATTACTTGACTCGTCTAGATGTCCCGTTGATGTCGTTTTGTTCGCAAAGTCTGCTTCATTTGATGGTGATCATTTTGGGAGAAATAGAAAGGAACCGCTCCAGTCCAGCCTGGCACGGCATGGTCCACTTTCGTACGAGCTCACGTAATTTTTGTTGACCTGCTGATGGTTGTCGTTGCTATCGACCGAGCCCTAGAAGTTAGCAAATCGGCAAAGATGCAGTAATCGCTTTGCGGTACATAATACATATCCACTATAATTTTCCACACTGTTCTATCATACATAGATATAGATATATTACACGTAGATATTCCCGTGACCAAGGTACAGCTAGCTCATCGCTCAAGCATCCGCCCGTTTCATATCGGGTTCTTGCATCAACGTCTAGTTGGTGTGAGTGGTTTTTGTTTGCTTGTCGTCGCCAGTGAGTGATCTTCTACCCTTTGTGATGCGATTCTTCCATTTGCGTGCAAGAGTGTATTAACTTATCGTGTCAGTACGTTACTGCTATCACTGTCGTAACTCTTCAACTCCCATCCCGGCAACTTGCCGGTTTACACTAGACTCTCAGGAGTTTCTACCATTTTGATATTGTTACCACTCAGCATCCCTGAAGGATATACCTATTTCCTTTGTGAATAATTATTAAATCTGATTAGCTTTGAGGCATTTAGTATCTGTGTCGTATCGGTATCAGGCTTTTTGTATCACGCACCAACTTTCCACGCACGTGTCGTCTGCAATACATTGTTACCGCCCCCGCTGTTTCCATAATTGAATTACCTCTTCTCATTTTTGTCAGCTCGACTATTACTAACCGACTGGATAACCTGCAACCAAAAATATTGAATCGTAAACTACCCAAATAATGTGAAAGACACCTCCGTAAAAACAAGATGACCTCAATCAAACTTCCGAACTCCCTCATAAGCAAACTTGTCTGTGTCTATGTGCTGTGCTCTCACCTGGTATGTGCGCAAGATGTAATCGAAAGAATTGTCAGACCCGGGATGAGTTTCCGCTGAAACATTATCGTTGATCCGCCCAGCGTGGTGCTTTCTGTGCTAGTAGAGTTCGAGTGATCGTGTCTTGCTGGCTGTGTTTATTAAAGTACATGCACACAGCGTAACATTCATATGTTCTTCTGACTTCGTTATTTTCTCTGGTGCGACGTTTTTCCGTCCTGTACTGTCAACGAAAGGACAACTACGTTTCCACCCTACGCATTATACGTTTGCTGCAGAGGGTATTCGTAGAAGATCTCTCTGCTCGCATAATATCGGTGCGTCTAGTGTACGCGGTTTGTGTTTATGAATGGGTGCCTTCCCATATACCATGTGGAGATGGAGCGAATATGGTCCTTAATATTATCACATAGTAAAGCGTGCCTTACTCGTGCGTGAGATACCTTCTGCCTGGATGCACGTAGCATTGAGATACTTATTCGAATAAACGGGGACGGGACTGTCCTATTGAAAAAAGAGCCACCCTGCAATGAATTACTCGGCAGGACATGCCAATGTCTCGAAAGGCGGCGGCGGAGGCGGTACCGGAGGTGGAAGTAGCGGCAAAAACGCCCAGAGCCCAAACAACGGATTACAACCAGACCAATTCTCGGTAACCCTCTTTTTTTATGATTCACAGATATTATACCGCGTAAAGATAGTTTGAACATTTAGGTGACTATTTATAACAGCAGATCGTTAAAATCTGCGGATAAGACCGACTCATAACATACGTTCACGATTCTATTAAGAGTACGAATTTTTAAAAAGCGGCTAACTACCATTGAATCAACGGGCATATCATTTCGATATGTCGTTACGCTTACATACGAGCTGTTCATCTTGTCAACATCTAATATTGCACCTTACAGCGGCTAAATGTAACTAGTATATCTATTGTAAACATCCATAAAAAAACAATTTCAAATACGATAATTTTGATAACCGAAATTTGTATGGTTTGTCCAAATAATAATAATAATAAAAACAAGAAAAATTATAATTATCATAGCTAGTACAACTCTCACAGACAGTTAGTTCACAGTAAACTGCTTTTTATGAGTGCCGTTAGATGGCGTCCGATGATTTTATTCTTTACATTCTTTTGTTTATTTATATTATTTATTATACTAATATTCTACGTGTGTCAATCAATAATACGTCCTTCTTAATATATCTCAATTGATATTTTTTTTCCATAACTCTAGTTTATCTAGCTCAATCATGAGACTTCAGAATAAAGTATCTTGTATTGCCAACTTTGAAATACGGTCACTCTGTTATAATTTCTGTCTTTTCTTGTTGCTGGTGCAACTTAAGAACGACCTTAGCTATCAAGTCACGTCATACAAGTTACTCGGGCATCAAGAATACGGTAACGTTGCAGCACCATGGGTAAAATGTCCTGTCTACGTTAGCCGAGCGATGCATTATTTTTAATTTATTATTTGACGTGGTCGTTCTCCACGTCAATATTTCACGGACGTCTAATAAAGTTGCGTGTTTATGATTTGATCGTTGTTCTCTGACTCTGACCAAACTAGTAGTAGTCCACTAGGTCGGCGCATACAGGGTTCTTTTGACTCCATCAGGAAGTCTCTAGGTTTCCAAAATCTTTATTGACGCTTTTCGGCGACAGCGTATAGCTATTATAATAGACCTAATATATGTAGGTCTATTGCAATAGCTTTGGCCTTGTTCTTGTTAGCAGATAAATTGTTCAATTAGATTTATCGATTACGCTGGATAAAAAAACTTTTCCCACGATAGTGAACCTATTTCACATGCGACTTAGAGCATATTTAAGAAGATCCAATAAGGCATATTGTTGTTCTGTATTCATAGATTCTGTGTGCCGAAATACCGGGCAAAATAAAACGGATATATCTGGATGCTGTGAGAATATCTGAGATATGCCAAACCGCCTGTATAAATAGACTATCAATAAAGTTCGGTAAATAACAGAAACGTTTATAATAAGTATCATATTTGTAATACCTTTGTTTTTAAATGCAATACGCTAAGTGTGGCCTTTTACAGTGTACATGTTCCTGTCCGTCATGTAACTATTTTACTAAATGCAAATAAACTGACTGTGCAAGGACAAAACAGAGAGTCTAACTTCATAATTTTTCTAGTTTACTAAATTGTATTCTTCAAAGATTTCTGCAAGAGCCACTGGTAACATCACTTGAATATCAGGGCATTATATCGATAATGTAAATGACTTATGATGTTTTTCGAGTAAGTTTAGCGGCAGGCCGTTTCAATATAGTTCAGCTGATCAAATATTAGAAATCGTCTTTTAACTTACAGATACAGATATTCTATGTTTTCAGTGCTTTACATATGTACATAAGGGGACAAAAGTGTCCCTAGCTAGAAGTATTTTTCGATTGAAAAATACAATAAGACTTCAAGCCATAATAAGCCAGAGTGAAGTTCTTCGATCGTAATCGGAAGCAGCTACGTATCCACTTGCCTTGGATCAAGTATATAGTTGCTATGGCTTATTAATGATTTCTAGGTATAAATTGAATCCACTCATCAACTTCTCACTTACTTTGGTGGGGAAGCAGCAGTTTTTTTCTAATAATAACAACAATATCTGCAAAAGGTATAAGACGACTGACGCACATCGTGAAAGAAAGTTGAGGTGGACGGCATGTTTTGCCTGATCATCCCGAGACGGATCACTCATCTGGACCCATATGAATGAAGTTATGCCTAGGCTAGTAATTTTAGCAGGCAGTCAAAATAGGCGTACGGTATTGCAAAGGATAGTATGACGAGATAGCTAACTGAACAAATAGCGAAGTATATTCTGCAGTAGTGGAAGTCGCCTGGTGCTTCGTGGCTATCATCTGACCATTAATACCAACGAAGAAACCACTCTAAGAGACAGGGTATGCTATCTTCAATATGTTCGATTACATTTCTCGATTCCCGACCAAGTCCCTTTCCGGCCGATTAAGACCGCACCACCAAGCTGCGTCGCCATGTCACGGCACGAGGAGTTAGAGGAGCGAGCTGAATAGAGGCTGATCTGTTTTGCTCAGAGTTCTGCCGTGGTCTCCTGGCATGAGTTTGTACGAAAAAAGGTTCTACACCAAACAGGCCTGCTTTTGACTATTCTCAGCTTAGTCCAGACATATTTAGAGAGATGGGTGTATTATACGATATATAAGTGCACGCAGCGACCGGTGTGTCGGCAACGAAATCTCGTACGATGTTTAATTAAAAAAGCGATTGAAACATTTTATTTGACTGTTTACTTATTGTTTGAATGTTCATAATGTATAGGATAGCTGATGTTTATGCTGTCAATAATACCTCTTGTATTGGAATTTTCCATATCTAAGTTTGCCGCTGGTGAATAGAGTTATGCTGGTTGCAAACGCCGATAGGCTCAGAAGACACCTTGGACTCACTGATTCGACCAATATCAACCTGGGTCAAACCTATCCTTTTTGTCATTGAAAACGATTTGTCTTCAAATCTTCAAAAAACTTGTCTGTCAAAAACTTGCTCACATTTCAGTCTTTGAGCCATGGGTAGCTTGCCTGCCTTAATGAAAGAAGATTGACATTCTATTTGAAATGGTGCACCAATGGTCTTTTTAGCTTGAAACTTTGCCATCCACGTGATTTAATGCAATTTATTAACCTTCCTGTTTCCTGGAAGCCACCCTAAAAATAAGGGATTGAACGGCTTTATTAGGGCTGAAAAATGTGGAGAATAGCTACGTACTATCTACAGTAATAGAAGGAACGAAAAATGATTTGGCCAAGTGTTATAGGCCCCTTCAACCTATTGGAGTTCCTACGAGGTCTACAGTTAATTGCCAGTTTCTGTGTACCATAGCTTACCTTTACTGAGCTTCTTTCTAAGCTAATGCCATCAGCTTGATGTCAACGGCAATAACTAAGACGTCGTTGAACCAAATAAAGGAATGCTGTCTTCACTTGTCGTTGAGGGATAAACGGAATACTATTATCTGTCTGAATATGAATTATCGATAAAAGATCACACTTTGAAGTCAGCTGAACCGCCAATTGGCCTTCGTTGTCAACTTGGATTTACATGAAAAAAACGGCTGTTCGTTCTTAACTAGAACAAAAGGTAGACATCATTTATAGTAATCATTGAGCACAAAAAGAGATCTGCCGTGACTTTTGTTTTCCTACTTTTTTTTAAGAAGCTCCGGTTAGACGTTTGATGCTTTGTGACGTAAGCTATCGCTGAGTAGGGACTATGTCTGTAATTAGTACTGATCAAAATAGTAGAAAACAAGTGAGTCTCGAAAAAAGCGTTGAAGACGAATCACTCTCCTTGTTGCCGCAAACAAATACGTATAGTTTTTGGGCATTCCTTTATCATATCAATTTGGGTGGCTCAAATTCTAAGTTGAACACTTTCAGGTCCGTAATACAGCAGCTCTCCTTTTTGCGATAACGCTAAAAGTGTGTTGGGATAGCAGTTCTAACTGAAATAGCTGACACGTACTTTAACTGGAGGAGGTGGGGGGGGGGGGGGTGGAAGGATAAAACAGCTAAGTTTAATACATTTTAATTAAAAACTCAGGACGTCTGCTTTTTCTCGAAGAGCTTCGTTTTGAAATATTGAAACGAAGCTGAAGGAAATAATTGTCGCGGTGATGTGATCCACTACGGCCGTTTCATCCTTTAACAGTGACACGTTTAGATGAAAATTTCACGTTACTCTGATATGTAGATCATATTGGATTATTGTTAAGGTGTATGGAGGGGTAGCCGATGTGCAGCTTAATTCCTGCTGGAGGTTAACCTTAACTGATCCGAATTCTTTCGTTAGTCTCATTTTCGTCTCTCTATCCTGGTAATGCATTGTACATGAAAACGAAAAACTCCTTCGTTGTCAGTTATCAATTTCTGAATATGTCACTCCTTTTTAAATGGTTTTCTTGGCCGATGTTAGACCTGCAACGCCGCACAAGTTCTACCTCTGGAGTCTTTCCTTCCGCGGAACCACTCCTCTGTGACGTCTATCCAATTTCTCGCGTCTCCCTGACGGACCCCTTGTGCGTATGTCTCCAACAAAGCATCAGTTCGAAGAAAAATGAACAACTTAGATTTGGCCTTCGCCCTTGACACAGTACCAGACTAGGGCTGTCCCTTTTCGCGTACCCTTGGTTTATCTGACAAGCTGCTTATCGGTGGTACTCCTTCAAAGAAGCTCGAGTACCATTGCGACATCGGGCGACTTTACTGCTACAGGGAAGTCTCCTTTCCAATGGCATCAATCACTGTTGCCTTTTTTCGTGGCCTTCTGGCCGGTCTGGCATTTGTTTTCCGTTGTTTCACCAATATATGATGTGCATACAAGTATGCGAGCATTAATGACAGCAGACAGAGAAAGATGCAGGGCAAAACGAAATCAGAAAATGAAGTGAGCAACGTAAGCGGGGGGTATTGCGAGGATGGAATGAGGGCAAAAGACGCTGGTGCTCTAGTCAGTGTACCTATCACTTTGCCTCCCGTTCGCACCGTCCTTTTGCGTTGAGACGATGCCTTAATGATAGCTAATGTATGGAGCAGTTGCTCCGTGGGGGGGGGGGGAGGCGGAGCGAAAAATTTACTATCTGGAAACTGCTGCATTCTCCGTTGTCAGACGATCAATTGCGTTGCGTGGTGCGAATGAGTGATAATCCTCAAAAGGCCCTCGATAGGCTGAATGCGTATGTGAGCCATTCGGTACGTATAATATGCCGTGCTCTATCTTTTTTAGTTTATAATAATATATATATATGTTGCCGTTAATTGTCACGGCACATTCACTCTGACTTGTTGGTGATTAAAACTATTATATGTTACACTATCATTGCCGAGAAGATCTTAGCGTTTAATAGATTGTGTTACCGACACAAATCTTACACTACCTTGTTATACTGGCACAGTACCTTATTTGAGAAAAGAAGAAGTCGTTTTAGGGTAATGCATTTTGGTACACTTTGAGGGAACTAAGTTTTTATTGTTTCCTCGCCCATTTCCATCTCATCTCTCTTATGGGACATCTGCCCGCTCTTTTACAAAATAGGCCAATAGAAATTGTCTAAAAAGCCGATAGCAAGAGCAACGATGATAGCAACAACATCATGCTTCAAAATAGTCTACGTGCTACTTTTTGTATTCGAATGAACGACGCGAAATTCTTGTTGAGTCAGGGCATTCCGCTTCGTGCCTGGCTTGCTATACATCTATTTATCCTATCTAGTTGGACTAAGCTACTGATCAGATGGACAGTCCCAAAGGGCGTGGAACTTAATGAAAGCTCAGTGCTTCGGGATACAGCCAGGCACGGTAGCACCGCAACGATCGACCGTCGTTTTTCTCCGCTATGTAGCAGCGACAATGGGAATAATTTTAATGCTGGTCCATTCTATAGTACTCTAGGCTACCAAAATAATAACAAAAACAACAGCAGCCTCAACAAAAACTGAACCGAACGCGACCGCAGCTGTTGCGGCAGCCCCAGTCGAACGTCGTCTGTCGGGCAAAGTCTGCGCACGTCTCACCACTGCATTAGCAGTCATACTGGCAGTAGAAGCAGATGCGTTTCATCAGGCCGCGAGATCTACCCACATTAAATCGCCGGGGCGTTAGACGCGAGCCGAGCGGTCTACGGCAAACCCGATCTTTCTCATCGCTAGCAGCGCTGAAATACTACCCAGACATCGAATCATTTTATAAATTAGTTACTCGAACGGATCGCCACAAAAATACGCATCGCGGGAGGCAAGGTATTGAACTGTGCAGCGTGTAGGCCGTACATAAGGATAAAACGTGCAGTAATTCAGTTGCAGAACATTTCTTCTAAGCAACACACATAGATGGCTAAGCAGGATCATTGTAGGATTGAACTAGGCCCTTTGATGGTGTTAATCGTTACCTTCTCGTGGCCACTTGCAATTTCTGTCAATGAACATTGCACAAGCTAAAAAAAAACTATTGAAAAACGTGTTTCTATTCATAGATGATGTTTTAATTGTGCAATTAAAAGTGAGATTATCTTTACCTATAGATAGTAACAAATAGCGTTTTCTCAAATCAATCTGTAGGTGACTCATTCGTGTGAATAAGTTCTCCTGTAGATCGTTTATTTAGTGCTCGTCTTTCGTGTAGCCTAACTTACCTGGGTAACTCACTGAACTATCTAGAACGCAAAGGACAGACTTAGTGACGGCTCAAATAAAGTAACAGGTTCAATTTCACGGAATGCATGGCAGGTGATGTTATAAGAAGTTTCTGGCATCTTCAACAGGAGAAACGTTTCGGGAAAACAAATATTTCTCTCCAAAATACGGTTGAAAACAAACCTGTCTATTTCTATAGATACATATACGTGTGTGATACTGAAATCAGACTGTAAATTTATCGACGAATCAACTGGCCAAGCTCATAGCACCTTTGATCCTTCGCGTTTTTCAGCAGTCCATCGATGCTTCTATGGCACGCGGGTGCTAGTGTCGAAGGCTTTCCGCCTGTCTTTATAGTCGTTTGCTCCGCAGCATCACTAAATAGATGTACACCAATTTATTCACAAACAACCGATCGGAGGAGAAACTCGTGTGCCAACTCCGCGTCTGACACCGAACGATAATATTGGAAATTCCGGTCGAAAATTTGAGTTCAGTGATTTAATGGCTCCGGCTAAGCAGAGATTTCGAGTAAAAGTTGATTTCTAGACCAGGTGTACTACAACAGCACAAATCAATCTTTGACGTTGTCCCTTACGAACACTTCCCGGCAAGTATCAAATTATGTATCTGATTATAGCAATACAAAACAGAATATATATCGACAGGGGCATGAGCGAATGAACAGCGTTAGCGGCTGTCCATGAACAGTAATAGAGGCGTATAGAATGAGTTGCGTAGAAGGGCCGAAGTAGTAGAGGTGGCTTTGGGTTGTCTGCTCAAGACGAAGCTGTCACGAGCCAACGGTGCAGTAAGCCTCGTTGCAATGGCTCCTTGTTTGTTGAACGGCCAACAACATGTGTACATGACATGTGATGACATTAGGTAAAATAGCTTCCGCTATTCGTGAAAGACAGTAAGAAAAAGATGACTCTTAGACCACCCCCAAGACGTGGGCGCCTCTGGCACTGGTTCATTGCTATTGCTGCCAGCGTCTTCCACGCGCAAATACTCAGCACGAAAGAGCTTAAAAGAAACGAGTTTTTCCTTCCAATATATATTAAGTGCGTGTCTTCCTATTGCTGGAAATACGAAATGAAGCCGCAAAGGTATAGCTACAGGAACAAGCGAAGCTAGGTGTCATTGCAACGATAGTACATAAGCTTCTTGGCAGATCTCAGTTTGACTCCCGGATCAGATATCTATCTAAAGGGGCGGTTATGTTAGCTGGAGCTGACAGAAAGCGAAGGGAAAAAAGTTGATATTTCGATATATGCATTCGTATAGGATTAAATCAATCAAACACGTCTTCATTTTGCTTGAAGTATTATTAATTAAGAGTAAAAGAAATTAATGATTAAGTGATAAAAGATAACTAATACAAGCACTCATCTTATGCGTCCCTGTAACTAATAGAGAACCCGATACCCTATGTGATCGGGGGGAGTGTGCTGCTTTTGTCCTTGAATGGTACTTTAGGCACCTAAAGCCATTCGAGACTATAAACGAATATTTTCAAAAGTAGATAGATACGTACCTTGGTTTATTATGAGGCTTTTCTCTGAACGCACTGCAAGTGTTCTCGCTCTACTAGTGCATGCTTTCATAGAAAAATGCAGTAGATTCAATGGAAGGAATTATACTGTTTCTTAAATAAAGTTCTCAGAGTGATCGTTCCAGTATGTTCCGGCACCCACTCTCTGACGTGAAACTTTTATTGCCTCTCTAGACGTACTACGATATCACAAATCCAAGTGGAGCAACCTTCCTCTTTTAGATGTTAGGGCCAGTTGATCATTGAGCTTAAGCTGCGGTGTGGTATGTGGAGACCTTTATTCGATTACGGACGTTACGCTGGGTATCTGTGATCCAATACTTAATCGAATACATTTCTATATTTCGAGCTTTACGTCC